AAATACCTATTGTACCTTGAGTGTGTATGATATTCATATGTGCATATTGTTTACTATTCTTGTACTTTCAATTATAGATGAACGAGTTTTATATTTGATAGTGTACGTATATTGAAGCACACGATAGTAGTGTACGTGTGTGTTCTCATATATAACACAAAGCCAAAACATTTAATGTATGTATTTGATAGTGTACATACATGAAATACACGATAGTGTACGTACGTTTTCAGATATGACATAAAACAGAAATATTTAATGCAGAGCATTAATTATATTCAGCAGACGGAAAGTAAGGGCATTTTCGTCCAAAATCTTGCTGTGACTAATTTGTAAGCCAAAATTCATTTGTGATATTTTAACAATTACAAATTCAAATTGTGACTTTTTAGTAAATGTCTCAACAAATTATCATGATCCACGAATCGATCATGACAAAACTTAACCATGGTTTATATTATATACTTATATAAAGTATAATATAAGCATCATTCCTAACTGCTTCATGTATATACTATTCTTCTTTCAAATTTTAGAATCTATACTATTAGTCTCTATAGCATCTCCTCCACACAATGGATACGACATGGCCTATACATAGAAACTCGAATAGTGTCATACCAATGATTGCATGGTAGCTATTATTATGAATAAAAACTTAACTAACGATAATCATCTCTCATAACAACTGACTATCTAAAATAATATAGAAATGTACATGTCTTCCATTGTTTTAATAGTACTCTCATATATAATTGATCTGTTAGAAGACGATAGGCAATACTCAAACACATTTTAAGTTGTATCTAGCTCACTGTAAACTTTATTGGAAGATCGAGAGGTCGAGATCGACCGAGACTGAACGGTCAAGATGAGTGACCGAGATTATAGAAATATTATCAATATCAAAAATTAGGAAAGTTAATATTTGTGTATAAGTTAGATTTTCTATTTCATAAATGTAAAGAACTTGATGAACAAGTTATTATCTTGTATAAATAAGCCTATTGGCTAATCAATAAAACTGAAAGAAATTATTCTACTTCTAAGGTTTCCTCCAAAATCTATCAAACTTTCCTATAAATTTGACGTAATCTCATAATTATTAAAATATTAACCGAGTTATTAAGATAAAAACAAATTCTAATACCAACTTTGTTTTAGTTTGTTGATCGCAGATTGATTATCCTAGAGAGAGTTTAGTTCGCTAACCAAAAAGTTGTAGCTGTGTGTATACAGTGTAAAAACCTATTTAGTAATCGGGAATATTAAGGGCAAAAAAAAGAA